ACAGAAGCTGCCCGTGAACACCGGTGTGAAACCCAAACACAATGTCGCAATGTCATATTTTCCACCATTATGCACAGCTCAGTTTTTAAGGTATTGATTTTAGCACCAGTGAGAGAATCTTTACATTTATACATTTATGCTAAACCTAAAAATGTAAAGATTCAAAAGCAAAGCACACATACTGTGGAGAGCTAAATAAACACAATGCAAATAGAGTACAAATCATAATAAAATCCACAGACTTGCTTTCAGCCATGAATCTCGGTCCTGTCTACAAAAATATATTTTGAGTCGATGATCCTAAGTCTCTGATGGCCTTGGTCAGGAGAAGGACCAAATTACCTCTTGGTCTTTCAGTCCTTTTCCACAATCAACACATCTAGTATTTTGTTACAGCCGTTACACGTGGGAATGTCACAGCAGCAGGTTCCATTGACAATTAAATTGAAAATGTCGCTGGCAGCGGATTCTATTAGCTACAGCTAATTACCTGCAATTTCACAATGGCTCACATTAAACTTCTGTCTATGTGTTGGTTAATGTGCTCTCTCCAGAGCGGTGTGGGTTCCCAGTCAGAGATCATCTGTGACTAAGAAACGCCTAATTGCTGTAACACCACTGATGGAGCGTGACTGGATTTCTGGGCCACTCTCACTACTTATGACTCGTTTGTTAATTATTCTTTTACTTTTTGGTCCAAGTTGCAGCTCCAGGTTTTAAATCTTGATTACAGTTGAATTTAAATTGAGTATTAAAATAACTTTGCACATGCCAGTTGACACATACAGCAAATACACTGCTGTTTGGTGACGTGATAATGTTCGTGTGCGAGTACAGTCAGTGCAGTACACTTCTGTTGAACAATTAGACACACTTGGCTGATGACCTCATCTAGCCAGCATCTTTGAATAACAATGTGGTTGTAAGTTGACGTTTCACAGGAGTAAATGCTAACGCTGTGAACCAACCCTTGGTGCCACTTGATTGTATTGACAGAGAAAAACCTTTCAAACAACAACTTGAAAGCAGTTATTTTTCAAATACATATTTATAATCTACATCAAATAATATCAGTGCACGTGCATGTTCAAAGCTGCCAAAGTATACTAGTACTTAATAAAAATAGTAAATTAAAGTAATACTTCTATGTTCTTTATAGTAATATATTATACTGTATAATGATTATTCACTGTCAGCATTTGAACTTTAAAATGGGGCAAACACTCCCTAAAATATCCCTGTTAAAAATGAGGTCACTGACTGTGTTCAGTTACTGCAACATGCTGTGTTAAAATCTATTCACTCTGATCAGTCAGAGATAATTCTTTCTTGCAACATGCTGTGTTAAAATCTATTCGCTCTGATCAGTCAGAGATAATTCTTTCCACAAGTATTCTCTCTCTCCGCCGTTTTCACAGCCGTTATGACATGGCGCTGGAGCCCACAGATACCCGTCATCTTGCACACCAACACTGTTGCCCTCCTCCAGACAGAGAAAGGTTATCTTGTTTACTCGTCTCTGCCCAACAGGAGCGTTTCCTTTGACGTGTCAATAAAGTACAGTTACGCTAAAATACAGTCGCATTAAAATGAACATGGTTTATGGAGGAGCAGGGGGGTAAAAAAATGTAATCAAAACTGTGCGAGTCGATGTCCTTTCTGCTGCGGCGCAGGGGTTTGTGGGCCAGACTGTACCCCAGCAGCTGGCCCACACCACTTCACACATAACGGAGACAGAGACACACAATGTCATTGCGCTTGTCTGCTTAACTACCATTTATTATGAGACAGTGTTCGATGGATGTCAGGCACACAGTAAAGCTCACACCCTGATGTCAGAGCTTCTGCCAAGCTGCTCCTAAGTAAGATGAAAGGCTTGTGTATCATAGACATCATTAAATCTATACACACATTTTATGTGACCTGGGCAGAAGCTGGCTACACACCAACAAAACCATACTGCTAACCAGATGCTACAAGATTAAGCTTTTTAAAAGAACTATACCTTTACATTCAGCAGCAGATATAAACTATATGGATTATTTTTTTTAGCTGACCCCAAAAACATAATTATCTGCTTATCATGACCTTCATTTGACCTTTTGTTTATGTTGACCTGTTGATAAGAAATGCTGACATATGCGTACCAAACTAACAGTTCAGTCTCTTTTCAACATTTAACTTCAGGTCTTTTGTAAAAGTACTTACGCATCTTAAAGTTTGCCAACACTGTGATATCATGTCTAATAAAACGAGGGCAGGGCAAATGTATTAACTAACCAATAATATTCAACTGTCGGCAAGCAAATAAACTTAATGACTTTGTCATTTATTGCCAGGGCCTTTATCACTGTCTCTGGCGAACTTCTTGCAGCTTTCCTGTGGAGCTACATAAAAACATGCACGCGCTATTTCTTGATTTTAACCTTGGTGCCAGGCTGCCTAACATTCTCGTAGGATTTCCCATCCTCAAAATCCTCTAAATTCTGGCAAAAACACATATTGTAAATTGTAGTTCAGCTTTTAGAAGCTGTGTGAAGTATGATAAGAAGTATGTCGAGAAGTATGATGAGAAGGCTGAGGATTAGATCGTAGAGGGTTTGGTGTAGAAACGTTGCTGTAGTTGTCGGTTTTGATGTCATTATCAGGGCGATACAATACAATATGGGCCGATATTGTCTCGGATATTTTCTAAAATCCCACTAGGCCAGAGTTGAAGTTTTAAGCAACAGCAAGTAAGATTCGAGACACAAGCAGACAAAAACAGATTACAAGTCAATTAGCCTCGTTACTCTTCCCAGTCTTCATGTCTAACCTGACTACACACATTACAACCTAAACAGACTTTGTCTGAAGAACTCATTTAGAGAAGTCATTAATGGGTCTGATGGTAAGAAATAATGATGCTCCTGTGTAGTGTTAGTCAGTCTGGTAGTTTTCCACAAGTCTAAAAATAAATGCATGCTGTCAAGTTTATTAGACGTCAACAAGCACACTGACGCTTCTCTGCTGGTTCTTCATGACTGACGATCAAGTTAACAAACAATCTGGTATCCTTCTGCTTAAATTCAACTATGTTCCACATGGATGACCACCAGTTGTGTAAAAGATGTGTGTACGGACGCGCAGACATCACATCTGTCAATTATTTCATGTTTTTTATTGTTGGGATTTTCATAAAACGTGTCCCTAAAGATTTAGACTAATATTCTGATATTATATGTTATTTTCAGAATTGTACACAATTGTGTGTTCTCAAACTATGGGGCTGGTACAGCTGGCTGCACTAGGGCTCCCTCTGGTGGTAAGCATGTGAATCTTAGTACCTTTAAGATTAGGTGAGCAACTTATTTGGTTAAAAAAACAGCTGTTTACATAATTTTGTTTATTTAAATATCATTGTTGTGTAAAAGTCCTACTAAGAACAAGAGCATGTATTACCATAAGCTACTGTATATAGTGATAATACAGAACAAGAGGCATTCTATGTATTGAAAGTGTTTTGTCAATTTCCAAGTAAATATAAAAATAAACATTAGGTCTGAAAAAAATTGAAGTACAACTTATATTTGCATTAATGTAAATGTAAAATCTTAACATTGTTATACTGTTAGATGGACACACTTGGTAAAAGGCCAGTTCTTACTCATCCCCTACAATAACCTGGTCTGAGCAGAATGATGTCATTCATTCATGGACTGATGACAATGGATCAGAAAATGTGAAGCCAGAGCAGCTAAACCCTTCTGCCTGGAAAACCACTCTGTTTCCTTTTGTTTCATTCAAGCAGATTTCACCAAAGAAAATAAAAAATATGGTGTAGAAAGGTGTGTAAAGGAGGTCAAGGTGTTGTGGTGTGGTGGTGGTGGTGGGGTTGGGGGGGTCGAACAAAAGAATGAAGTGACCAGGGCAACAGCGCACACAATTTTTGTGTCCACTGTTGCTCAAGTTTTGTGAAGACTTAGATTAATTTAGAAAATCTCATTTACAGATTTAAGAATGATGAACAAATCGCCTACATTTTTTTTAACAGCAAGGAAACAAAAACCATAACCCTGACACCTTTGCAAATGAGCCACTGATCATCATCTAGGCAACATCAAACTCTCTGTAGTGTAAAACAACATTGTAAATGTCTTAAATGTCTAAACAACAAAATTAACATTCAGTTAAACATAACTAAAATAGCATCCTTATCAATTTGTCTCTTTGCAGCAAAGAACCCGAGCAAGCAAACCAATAAATCACAGCCAGTTTATGCTCGACTGAAACACCCACTCCAGAGCACTGGAATAGATAAATAATGTCATGAAAAAAAAAAAGTCATGAATTAAAGATGACATGTAAAAAGAAAAAAAAACACAGATCAATTTGTACTGTACGACTGAATACTACTTCCTTTTTAGTTCTATCATTATTTTTATACAGCTGAATGACGGCAGGGAAATTTAAATTTAATACACCAGTTGTTAGGACCGTCTCTTATCACAGCACAGACTTCAGTCAAGATTTCTGACACTGAGAGGAAAGCCTCAACTTGCATCCCATTATAAAAAAGTCAATAAAGCTCCAGGAAGCTCTTCACACGACATACAGTGATCAATCCTTCTCTCATTCAGTCTGCTGGCAGCTAACACTGAGAAAACAGGACAAATGATTTAAGGGCTGATTAAAAAGTAACACACACTTTTTTTTGTATTAATCTGCACGGAGAGAAAAAAACGACGGTGAAAACACCTGCAGCTCAGTTTTATTGAACCATCAATGACTACAGTTATGATCCCTCTCCCATAACTGTCCCCACAGTTCTGGCAGAGGATTTTCACACACACTGGACACGCACAACACGCTCACTCTCTTCCATCACAGAAAGTCTCAACTGTGTTCTGCTGAAGGAGTGAAAACATTACAGCAGCCTCGGGCATCGTTTCACACAGACATACAGTACAGCCTCCTCCACACAGCTCCCTGTACAAGGCTGAGCCTTTCTGCTCACCTACCTGTAGCCCTCGTCTCCTCAGAATGCTGGACTCGTCCATGGTACACAGCACCCACTTATCATGCCTCTCTACCGGTGCGGAGCCATGCTGCACTGCCTCACTCCTGTCTCCCGCTCCATCCCTCCTTTTCTGACTCCCTCCCTCAGGCTAAATCTGATCTTAGCAGCTGCTAAACACTTCCATCAGAAACTTATCCGATTGGAGGGGGCCAGTCAGGTGACACCTCCTCTCGTTTTCTCCCTTTGCTCTGCAACTTCGTGATTGAAGGAGAGACGGAGCGAGAGAGGTGGGAGGGAAGGGACGGAGAGTCAGGGAGAGATTCAGGGAGGATAGGCAGTTTTCAAATAGCGTAGCAAAGGGTGGGGGTGAGTTGAGGGTTGGGGGAGGACCAGGGACAAGTGAGGGCCCCCAGACTCATTTCTCTGTGCAGCCACGCTTTTTTTGGGAATTGTAGGTGACCATGAAATTAACAGGAAATCCTTCCATGCATTGTTTCTGCCTCAGCCTCAACAATGAGCCTGGCATCCTGTCAGGCGACAGGCAGCCTAACAGATTCCCTGCTCTCATTGAAGTCCATGAGTTACATGTAGACTGCAAACATGCAGCACAAACCTAAAGGTCAGGTAGGTGACAGAAAGATGATGGCTGAGACTATAGTTCAGACTGCCTGAACCAAAAAAAGGGGGGAGGGAGGGAGCAGAGGAAGGAAATTAGTCAGGTTTTGGGTTTTTCTGTTAAAAAAACAAAACAAAACATCTTCCTGAACAACAACCAGACAGAGATGGTTGTGATGCTGAAATAAATCTCTGGCCACATAACCTGTTATGTACACAACTGCACATCCTGTGTCCATTTCCAATTTAACACGCTACCTGTGTCCCTGGAACACGGTGGTGACCACAGATTTCTCCACTTCTTCATTCAATGGGCAAACACCCTACTGATTTATTAGCCTATGGAATACAACTTGTCAATTCCAGGCTGCCAATTCTATCCAGGAATTCTGCATTCAGTTTCAGTCTCTGTTTTTCTTTCCCACTTTCTCCATTTTCCCCACCCTCTCTCACTCATTTCCTTTCACTGTTGCGCTGCTCAGTGAATATTAAGTAGGCCTCTCTTCCTTTCTCCCCATCACCAGCCAAGCTGAAATGATTTCTCTCAGTGAGTGTGGCCTGGGATGACAGATGACCACCGCTCCAACTGATAGTGGAGGTGCATAGAATCAGTGACCACTACATCAACCTACACAACTAGACTCTACGCCCTACGCCGGTCATTAATGCTGCTGGGCTGATAAGACTTTGTAGAACCACTCATCTGTCTACTTTTGTACAAACCCGTATAAAAACAAAGACAACGACGATTACATACGTCAACTTTTTTGGTTTGAACAGTGGCAGTCCAGATTACCTGAGGGAATTAAAGAGCCCTGTCAAATTCAGCAGAAAAAAGTCTCACTTCGGTGCTCAGTCTGTTTCTGCTCAAAGGAACAATTAAGAAAATTCCTCAGTGGACTAATGACAGAGATAAGAAGCAGCAGGGTCATTTATTTTATTAAGTTCTGCCTTTATTTTTCCACTGCAAAACTCCCATTATAACTACGTTTTACTATGCTGCTAACAGGGCTGTTCCAATATGATTTTTTACCAACTGATACATGTACGAGCATTATCATCTGTGTACTTGTCGACACCAAGTATCGTCACCAATAAATGTTTACGTCGGGTTTCAGTAAATAAGCAACTAATAGAGTGAAATTAAAGTAAATAAAGTAACGGTTAATGGTGCAGTGTGAGTGAGACCAAGCAGAAATACGCTAACATTTGGAGGGTTTCTTTGTTAATTTTATTATAATTATTTTAAGTAGGCAGTGTTTACCAAAAAACAAACAAAGCAAAACTGCTTTGAGGGATTTTTTTTTTTTTAGAGGGCAGCCATGAAAGCATGCAGACCGTTTGTGCCAGTGGCCTTGGAGAACAGACACAGAAAAGGCTTTAGGAAAGGACAGGGGCTGTCTGTGACTATTTCCTCTTGGCAGGTGGGCAGCAAAGGTTTTTTCCCTCTGGAGAAGAAAGGGAGATCTGACTCTGAGAGCATGCAGTGAGTGCTGATTGAGTGACCCACAGCCTCTCTGAGTTTATCAGACCAAGAGGCAACCCGCAGGTGTGGGCCAGGCAGAGGAGGGATGTAGCCTCTGAAGAGAGCCATGAAGAAAGATACAGTCAAATTCCCTTGACCCAGAGCACAGCAAAGAATCCATCTGTCCAAAGCCAAAGGGATAAAAATATCCAAGTATAATAAAAGTTTGTACTGACAAACGAGGACTCTTTAACCTTGACAGGGAGACACGAGTAATAAAAATGGGTTGTTTTTTTTTCTTTAGGTCCAAATACAGATTAAAAAAGCAGTATTTTCGTAGTTCACTTTCACCAAGAGGATAGCTGTGAAGAACCCACAAGACAGAAACATGATTAGCCTCACAGAGACCAATATCAACGCTGGACATTGTTTTAAATGTTGTTGAGGCTTAAAAGTGGATCCTGCCTTAATGCTAACAAAAATTAGCTATATGAGCAAAACATAAGCAGGTGCGTTCTCAAAATGAAAAATTGTAGCTCCTCTCGACTTCTTCTCACTTTGTTTTTCCACTTTCATAGGAACAACAGAGTGAAGTGGCGCTCTAATTCAATCTCATCCGTGGTGAGATTCAGATTTGATTGAATCTAAACTCTGAGAGCACTGACATCTCAACTATAACATCTGTATCAAAGGTGACAGTTTTATTTATACAAAAACCCAGGTGTTTACAGTAAAACACCACTTGGTTTGTGATATTACAATCTGATATATTGCTACAGGCATACAGTGGCGAATAACAAGGCTGCTGTGGACAACAATACTACTCAATACTGCCATAACTAACAAAAAACAATAACAATGTCTGGGTGGTAACTTATGAGTCAAATAAATACTTTAAACAAGTATTTAAATATGACATTTATTATGTGCAATTATTAATCTTGTTCATTATTTTCCATGCCTTTTGCACTCACCGTGTTAAATAAAGTAAAGCTCATAAAAGGCTAAGTACAGTCAATTAAGTGATACCGATAAGTCAAATGTACACAAACTGCACATAGACAAACACAGTGACATCTACACATTGTTTTTCTCAGCAGGTTGCTACTGGGCTATACGATATTTATTTCCATTTATGGTAGGCTAAACTTTGGGACCTTAGGGCTATTTCTCATAAACTTGAGTTCCTTTGTGTGCAACAACAAACTCCAGAAACAACAATGATATCAGTGAAGGACATCTCTGACTTCAATTACAGGAGAGAATGAGAGTCACAGCATCAGGATTATGACAGCCTTATCTCCATATCACACCAGAGGTGAAATATTGATTTTCTGCCAAAGAGCATCACAGTCAAGACAGAGATGTGCCACGCTGTAGTCAAAGCTTCATGCACACCCAGGGGCATGATGGGAGAGCATAAAGGAGAAAAAAGAAGCAGAAAGCAATAACAGGAGTCCTGTGAGCCAAAGGGGGACAAAGCACAGCAGAACGGGCCGGAGGTGCCTTAAAACTGCAGTGGAGAGACAGTGGGAGGAATGAAAACTGAACCATTCTTTTATGTGTCATTTTTCATTAGGTCTGGGGAATGTTATGTACTGAATGTTCATACTATAGTGTGGGGGGAGGAGGGGTAAGAAAACGCAGCCTCATAACCGTAATCAAATCAATTTGTGAAGAACCCAAAAACTCCCTCCCCTAACAACTCTTATGGTTTCTCTGCCACACATTAATGTAGTAAAAGTTATTAATCTGTACTAAAGAAGAGTACTTGTTGTATCTGTACACAAATTACTCTATTTTGTCCAATAGCATTGGCTTTGTTTGCTTTGTAAACAGAAAACACATTTTCGGCTTCCTTTTTACTAACTCACCATCACCGAGGACATGTTTTTTGTAAGAATGCCATTGAAACTTAAAAACATAAAATTCCAAACAAAAAACGCATTTGCCACAGTACACAATATGACCCTTGTTATTGTTTTTTAGTAAACTAAAGAAGCTGTTGGAATCTTGTGTCCGTGTTTCTGGGGAGAAATCTGCCCGAGTCAATGTCCAGAATTTTCTGACAGAAAATACATGTTTCAATTGAAAACAAAGAGCAGAATTTTTGGAGATGGATTTTACAGAGAAAATCCATCTCTTTCAATCCACAACCAAGGCCAAACTGTTGAATACAATTAAAAAAAAAAAAAAAAAACACCCAAGGCTGGAAATCTTGGTGTGCAAAAGGCATGACCAAGTTTTTTTTTTTTGTTTTTTTACAATGGAGCAACTCCATTTCCTATTCAAACACTGAAAAGTCCTAGAGAAATGTTGAATAATAATATTTTTTGGCCGCAATTTTAACCTGTGAGAATAAAAACCCTAGTTAGAGAGTTTACTAGTACGTATAAACTGTCTGTTCCCACTGTGGATTAACCTCTGAAACTGTACTTGTTGGAAGATACCAGTCTGGTGCACTACAGCAAGGGTGCCCACACTTGTTGGTGTACTTTGTTTAATGCTGTAGGTGGCTGTATGGAACAGTTTGATTCGATTCTTACAGTAAATGGTCACTGATTTACAATATAGAATAATCTCTAAAATTAAAAATTAAATTTTCCTGTTTAAGTTGCTTATGATCTACCAGCACTCCCTTTGTGACCAACTGGTTAATTGTGATCTATTTATTTATCCTGCAATTGAGTCTCTATTGTGTCATTAACAGCAACAATTTATTCATTATAGTAAATAAGGTTAAAATTTAGGACTGCAATATTTTTACACAAATTATTGTGTAAAATTCCCACAGGCTGAAATGCCTACATTTTAAAAACAGAAACTAGATTTGGTTTATTTGACAACATCAGACTTTCACCCTGATTACATTCCCTCATATCAACAGTCATTCTTCTCTCTTCAGATGTTCTACCAGTGCAGTCTGATGACAGAATGTATAATTGTTACACAAGTAGCAACAAGCAGAGCCGCACCTCTTACAGCCACTGGTGCTCCAGAGTAAAAGTAAAAAGTTTCACATTTTACTAGGGGCTGTCAAATTACAGTTTTACTCTGATTATTATTTGTGACTAATGCAAGATTAAGCCACAGAAAGAACAGACAGTAAAGACAAATAACAGCAGGGAGACGGTCGTGTTTCACTCCTGTTTTTATTTGTGACTAAAACAAATGATGGAATTATTAAAAAAGGGAAAAAGTACAACTTAACATTTAGCTTCATAGAAATTGTGTCTCTTAGTCATTACTGTGAATCTCGATGGTGGCTTGTAGAATGGGTTGTGTGTTGCTTTTACATGTGTATCTACTTTGTAGCAACAGTAAGTGGATTGCTGGAATTTTTGGATATACAGTGCCCGTTAAAAATGTAATCTGATTAATTCCACAAATGAACGTGTGCAAGTGATGCATTCATTTTCACACAAATAATTTAGTTACGTTGAAATAACCCTGCCAAATTAAGATTAATTTGTTGTTATATCTGAACATTACATCCATGATATATATATATAGTAATATCACAAACCAAGTGGTGTTTTACTGTAAACACCTATATATATAGTTTTTTATCTTTATATATATATATATATATATAGAGAGAGAGAGAGAGAGAGAGAGAGAGAGAGAGAGAGAGAGAGAGAGACTTGTTTTATGACATGGTGAGTCCTGAGCTGCAGGACGGCACAGGGAACAGAACATGTGATGCACTGTGGTTGTGCAAAGCCACATAAAAGCTCCTCTCAGCCCCATTTCAACCATATCAGTGCTCACATTTGGTGAATAAAATCTGATGGGAAAAAAACCCCATGTCTCGACTGCTGGGTCTGCATGACCTCACAGTCTCACTCCTAAGGTGAGGCAGTGAGTGATAGTCACAGGAGACCTTCTTTATCAGACACAACATATTGCCTGATGTGTAATGAAAGTGAAATGATGCACATGAATCCATTAAAAGCAATTTTAGTAAAATATTCCCTCTATAATAAACGTAAACTTGTGTGGTAGAAAAAATATTGTCCCCCCTACGCAGGAATCCTGGTGCACATTATGCAATACTGTAGTACAGAAACTTCGTTGTAAAAGCCAGTAAGTACAGACGTCTTACAGGTGTCTCATTTAATTACTCTGTAGCCCATAAATGGTGAAATAAAACAGTTGGAGAACAGATATGTTTTAGTTTATCCAGCCAAGAAAATGAATGCAATGAAATAAATTGTGGAACTTTAAAACCCACGGTTAGTAGTGCCCCCCAGTGTGCAAAGTGAGATGAGGCAGACCCAAATTTAAATTAAACTGAAATAATTCTGTGGTTCACTTACCCACCTTTCTAAAGCTCAATGGGCAGTGGTTATTCTGTTGAAGGTGTAGCAGAAGTAATCCTTTTTCACGAGTGGACATACAATGGACTCATGTTGCTGAGGGGTTTTCTTTTTTCTTTCTGGAGGGGGCTTAAACCCATTAGGATTATTAATGTGTGAGCGGTGTAAACAACAATTTGGTCACGACGGCACTAAAAGCACTCGCACACAAACACGGGCCTCAGATAATTTTTATTAGATTAACCTTTTATTCAACCGATTACACGCACACACACGGGGAATGACTCATAGATTTACAGCATTGGATTAGCCCCTGCTTTTGATTGCATCTCACTCCTGAGACAAAAAGATCATGATAGATCACTGCAGGGTCTCTGCCACAGGGAGACCACAACAAGCAGAGTGAAGGTCACGTCCTTCAAGACTTTTTTCAGTTACTACTGAAAATAACCTCCCTTTTTCTTTCAATGGCTTTTTACTAAAGTATTATTCCCTTAGTGTTTCTGTTTTATATGTCAAGAACTCTTATTTTAACATAGATCTACATTTCACCTCAAGCGCATTTATCATCAGCAAGATGTGACCTATACTGGTTTATGTCTAGTAAATAAATATATTTATAAGTACTTCTTTAAAATGCTATGAAACTACGGCAGAGATTAGAGAGATCGATGGATAGAAAGAACCCAAGTACCACCAGTGGTTCACAAACCACTGTTTGAGAAATTTATAGTTTTTATTTTAAAAAGTAAACACTTGTATCATTCAATAACCCTTGGAAATCATGTTTAGAAGAATTTATTTTGGAAAAGGTCAATATCGTACCACGCTGACAAAAGAATATTCAAATACTGCGACACATGGTGATGACACGAAGGAAAGAATCACGTGGATTAAACACAGCTTTTGTTTAAACAAAGGGATGAGGTCTTTGAGCAGCACAAGGGTTGGATGTTGACACAGAAGCTGTAGAATATCAATATGTGGGCAGTACTCACCAGGCTGGAGGTGAGGGAGGGGTCCGACTTCCCGAGGTTCAGGGAGCGCATACGAACCAGGCTGGAGCTCTCTGATGACTGCTGCCATGCGACAGGTGACTGATGGGGGTTGTTGGGAAGCAGGAGATATTTTCCTACAGAATAAGGAGTAACAAGGAGTGGTTAAAAAAAACAATGGCTAAAATATCATCATCACCACAGGTAAAAAAGTTCACAAAGTATCTTAAGACAAAATAGAATCTTTTTGAACCCCATGACAGTGAAATTGCCATGTTACAGCAGCAATGGAAAACAGGAGAGAAGAAATCACAACGATGAAAAAACAGAAAAATGTATAAAAACAATTAATTAAAAATAAATAAATAATTAAAGCTAGAATAACATTGTTTACATTGTAAGATAATAAAGGAAACAAAGGAATAAAATAAATAAGGTAACTGCATTTTAAACATAAAATATTTTGTTTCACACTTATATTTGCTGCTCAGCACAGCACATTGCAGCGCATTGTTTATTTTCTTTGTTGTTTTATTAAACCGTTGGCTTAGAATGGATGGTTTTTCAATATCAAGTTGTAAATCCCCTTCTCCATATCTAAATATATTAGGTTTGCAACTAAAGTGTTAGATTGTAATTACTTAATACTGTAGTATCAGCAGACTAATAACCCAAAAAGACTGAGCTGTACTTCCACATTTCACATTCACTTAAAAATAAAAAAAAAAATTTAAAAAAAAGGTCTTGTCATGGACAGGAGGCCGTACAGATCGTGTGCTGAACAAGTGTAAAAGGCTGGATTAGGCTGGTTAAAATAGTCCTGATGATAATGTAATTAGAAATGTAATTAGGACCAAAGAGACAATCCTTACTTTACTGCAGCACAACAACAAAGTCTGCTAAGGCTTATATTTGGATGGACAAACATGACTGAACAAACAATGAATAAATAACATTATCATAATCATTTTTAACAAATACATGTCCTAATTCATTTTCCAGTACTGGCAGGCAGGGGGCACCAAAAGCTTGTTTTACTCTTCACTGTCCTGTCTTTACTCTACATCCACTGCCCACAAAAACAAATCAATCGTCGTCTTCAGCTATTTTTATAGTACAGTGGAATTACTCTAGTATATAATTCCTCTAAATTCTGTCTCCTCCTTTCTACATGTGTATACTATCATCTCCTGTTTAAATTCCAGAAGAAGAAATGGTTACTCTACCATCGCAGTGAAGAAAAGGAGACTGCTGTATAAACAAGGATATATCCTGTCTTCACAGACTACAAAACTGATTTTTGTTAATGATCATTTCAATGTGACACAAAAACAATAATAGAACTCCTTGTCACATCTTACAATTTTCCAACTTGTATATGCATTTTTACAGCTTTGTTTGACATTTTATGGCTATTTGAACCACGATCATTTTTACCATTTATTTTCCATTATACTTAACACTCAAAGTCCTGTTAAGTCCTGTTAACAACACTCAAAGTTAAACAGGAATGAACAAATAATGCAGAAACATATTTGATGATGTTTGCAAATAATTCTCATAAAATGACAAACGATTCCAGATATATTACCATAGTATTATTGTGGGAGCAGTGGAAGAATGTGATTCATGCTGCTAAGTTACTGTCTGTGACAGGAACATGGACAGGATTAGGAGGGGAGTATAAAGTTCTTCCTTCCTTACTGGCAAAAGTTTTCCTCACTAGAGTTCAATCACTTCTCCACGTAAAGGAAATCTCTCGTCAGACAATAATCAACACCTCTACAAGGGTGAGTATCAGGGGATTTGTGCCGAGAAATGAGAGAGGGGGTTTTTTGGTGTATCTCCTATATTTGTAAGGTCAGACCAGTCAGCTGTGCAGCTGCCTCCTGCTCTTTGTTTTAAAGTCATTTTCATTTTGATGTGTGGCACCAAGTCTGGCTTGTTTGAGTTAAGAAAAAAGAAAATCCATAAATTTCAAAAATCTATGTTGTCCATGTGGAGAATATTATATATTCATATGGACATGAAATGATTTTGTTTTTTAAAACCTGGTGATGCAGCACTTCCGCTGAATAATACACTCATGCTTTTGTTAAGTACCTAAGGTTATGTTGTGATGATTTAGTATACACAACAGCTAATTTAAAACAACAGCCAGGCTCATTTAGAGCTACTGTCCAAACAGCGAGTACACACTCTGTGTGCATGATAACAAATAAATTAATGTTTATAACAAAACCAGGAGGAAAAGCCTTCTCTCTTACATCCTGTGTAAATTTAGGAACAAAGACATCATGGTGGTCTTGCAATAACAAGAGCAAAACAACGAGATATTGTTAGATTTACACATGCTCGTTATATTAACATTTCTGCAAAGTAAACATAATTAAATTTATTAATTTTCATCATATCAAATAAGTAAATGACGTCTGCAGACACCGTAGACAATTAAACATGAGCTCTAAAAGCAAGCCCTGAGTTTACTTAAAGGCAGCAAACATGTTGCAAAGAAAAAGCCATTTATCTGTTAATGTCCTCAGGTCGTCATAAATCCATTATCATGTGATCAGGACTCATTTATTCATCTGTCCGGAGGCAGGCTGCACAGTTCAGAGCTTGGTTTGTTAAAATCAGTCTACTGGCAGATGCAACATAATAAATAGAGCTAATAGAGTTTAAATATAGAGTTTATATAAGACCCCTGGAACTTTTTATTATTTGTTAACTTAGAATTAGTCTTTTATATTTGTACGAATCTTCCACAAAGCCCAGCCTGTTGTACTGCCATGTGGCTGCCATCATTTATGAAGACGCAAATAGTTTTTATGGAATAAATTCCTAGTATTTTTAAACCAAATACACAACAAAAAAAACCCCATAATATTCTTGCACATTGTGGATTGGTTAGCAATATATTACTGTATAACAGTGCCTTATCAGAATACAACCGTTGCTTTATTATTCCCAACATTCAAACAGTGTCACTAAATTCCTCATTCTTTAAAAAAAAAAAAAAAAACATTTTTCTTTATTATTTTATTTTTCTAGTTATTGGTGGTTGGTGCCAGATAAAATTAAACAGAAACAGTTCACACAAGTGAATTAAAGACTTTGTGCGTTATTTTGAATATGATGATAGATGACGTACTGCTGTATGCTGCAGTTTAACCATCATTAAAAAACAGAACAGTTATGGTTCACACCCTAATGTGGATGACTCACGGTCACCTGCGTTAATTTTTCTGGTTACACAGAGTTACCGTGAGGCCACTACTAGAAGTACCTTTTACTGTACTCTTCCAAAAAAAATGATTTGGATCTAGTTTGCTGGCCTGTATCTGTCTAGGGATACTTTCTTTTCTTTTTTTTCAGTCCAACAGTTCAGGGCAAGTAATATGATATGGAAATGCTTTAAAACCTTTCAATCAAACAGCTACAGTCAAGATGAACTAAGGCTACAAGTGGTTTTAAATAAATCAGTTAAAATGTATATTGGTTTCATGACCTTTATAAAAAGTAATTTTCAACTTTGCCCCAAAAAATAATCCATACATGACACGGGAAATAAATATTCATATAAATGTTACCTGTGAGACCACCACCCAGACTTCTCCTTCGAACGTATTTGCCGTCTTCACTGATATGACATTTTAATTTTAAAGCAGGACCAAATCCATGAGACAGCTCTGGGTTACTGGACTTCTGGAAGGACATGGACGGAGGGTAAAGGATGTTGTCCAACTAAAAACAAAGACAAAACATCAAATTTAAGATCCTTGAAATAACAAATTTGTGGTCCAATTTTTTATTATTTATATTATCTGGCGAAAGTGTGTAAAAGTAAAGTATCAGTTTACACAAAACAATACTAGGAAACATTTAAAAAAAAATTGTTAGTTTGACTGCCATTTTTCTCCCTAGGGTACTAGAGCGTTACAATTGACACATTTTTACAAAGAAGTATTTCACAACATTCACATTATTAGTTTTAAGAGGCAATCAGAATTGTTCAAAATCTGAGGTTCACTCTCTGCAGTCTTTCACAACAAAGGAATTTTGTTACCACAATGAAAAATAAATCCAAACACTTCAGAAACTCCAGGGGCGGGTGTCAGTGTCTCAGGTTAGCCAGTAGGGAGATTCCGCGGGTGTCTTTAAACTACCTTAATACTTATGGGCTACACACAAACAGAGTTTTGTTTTTATTTCAATAGGTTTTCCAGGAAATGTCAGGTAAAGCAGTTACCATAACCCATTTTTACTAGAATCAGTGTATATGTATAAAAACAGAGATTTTTTCTCCTTGGAACTACAGGAAGAGAGCTTTATTTGATAAACACCAGCAACAGTTGATACAATAATTAAAGAATTCTCTGGCAGGTAAATACCGCTCCTTTGGTAAGTTTAGCCATTGCCACAGGTAATGTAAAGGTTTGTAAATGCATTTAGACACAGACACTAAATATCACTATGACACAGTGAACAAGACGTTGGTGTTGCAGGACAATGATGACCTTACATCACAGTGAAGACCACATAACAATGAGCAGCGGTGTAAGGAAGCGGCCCTCCCTAAGAATACAAAGACAAAAATGGCTGTGAGCTTCAGTTGGAAGGAAATACCCTGTGCTGCTCTGTGGGATGATTTATGATCTCAATGCTACCAAGGGAAACCTGAAACATTTCTGCAGAACTGCATGGCCTGACAACAACTGCAAGGATGTAAAGTAATGCTCAGCAAAAAAAAAAAAAAACATGGTTCAGAGTAGGAACATCGATTTGTACGCACTGGTGGTGCTCATCAGATACTGCCTGTTCTGTGAGACAGAATCTGTCACATCTGGATCTCATGACCTTGGTATACAACAGAGCTTATTGTTGTTTTTCTGAACCATACTACACAGACATCAACGACATGTTGACACGAACATGTCAACAATACCCTGACCGAGCTGAGACTTGAAAGACGATGAAGAGAAGTTACGGATCTTAAGCATGACGAGCGGAACACATACATTATCTACCAGGCATATGTTGACAGAGAAATCTATATTTATACTTAGAAGAACACATCAGGCACATTACGCAGTCATAATATTTTTAAATACATTGCATGTGTTTTCACATACCATTAGTTCCATTGCCAATTGCCAAAAACTACATTTTATAGTATCAGTCTATTGCAAGTATTGCATACTGTGACATGTCACCTATGTCTTTTATGTTATGGTGGTCCTCAGCAAAACTCAAAAATACAACTGGTAATTTATCTCCTTATTGGTAACCTGTATTTACTAGATTTATTGTCCAGACAATAATGGCTCTTAAGTTGAAGGAAACAAACACAGACCAGCGTACACATATCATCTGATGTTGAGGCATCAGCCAATTAATAACACAGGGAAGCAGAAGCGTACTGTATTTGGGCATGTGTCAAATAAAATAAACATTACCGCACACAAGTACAAAATGGGGAAAAAAAACATGACCCATAGGTGGTTTGGACAAAATTACTTTCACCTTTGAATTTTAAGGTTTTAATTTGTTGCTTCCCTCCTCACTTAGTATTCAAGACAACAGTGGTGCAGATTAAAATTTCATGTGCAAACTTGCCTTTTTGTGATGTTCCTTTTCCTCCACTAAAAATGCACACAACCTAAGCCATACAAGAGGATTTACAAATCAATCTAAACATGGGCCCAACGATGGTCGGCCCAACGATGGTCGGCCCATAGACTGTCACAAAAGTCACTCATGTCTAACCTGCTGGACTACTGCAGTGTTGTACAGCAGGATTATCATGTTAGTGACAATCTCCATCAGAAGGCACTTCATGCCTTTAATGGTTTCCTTTTACATTTTCTACTTGTATTCTGCACTGATGAAGTCGTCGTGTCAGCAAGCATATGAAGTTGAATGTGAACAGTTGCTCACCTTTGATGTGATGACTTTTGGACTTTGTGATGTCATCAAACAAGATGGGTTGTTTACTTTTACTGTGGCCATGCAGGCTGTTATGTTTGCATGTGTAAGTCTACTTCAAAGGGTTAACCAGTGTTGTAATTACTGAAGACTATTCAGTAAATACATCCTACTCTGAGCATTAACAATTAAGCAATGTGTCTGCTCATTGTTAATATATATATATTAAAGTCTGTAGCACTACAATTGCAAAATATTGAAAATTCAAATCAAAAATCTTTGGAGGAATGTTATTAAAATGAAGAGTTCAAATGAGCACTAAAGGTCAGTTAATTTGAGCTGTCTGCGGCTCCCCCGGTGGTCATATACATGTATTTCTTTTGCTCCTACAGTTGTTACAAATGTGAGCTACTCATTAAAATCAGGTATGTTTCATGTCATATGATCAAGACACAAAAACAACAGTTAAACTTTAGCACTGCAATTTTACACCAACGAAAACAAAATAGACCTATGTAAATGGGTCGCTCAAAGATGCCATTTATATACAGTATATACGCAAACATCAAGTGCAATACTCTGACACACAATCCTACAGCTGCATTGTTAAGATCCAGAGGCTTCTGTGTACAAACAAACTTGTACTGTGAAAAAGTCATTATGACCCGAAGTCCTCAACACCGAACTTTGACTTTCAAGTCAAATAAGCAGAAGCAAAGTAAATTGATCTCTGGAATGGTCAAAGTCTGGATTTTGGAAAAATTTGTGTGCAATATTTGCTTATCATTTTGCTGTTGCTTAAAGACCATTTCACAAAGCGACACTACCTGAAAGACAACTGCAGACAAATAATTAGGACCTGTCACGACAAGCAGTACCATCTACAAAAGCGAGAATAAAAATTAAATTGTATGACCCACTAAAACTACTGCCTGTTTCCTGTAGACAGTGGCGCGCTGTTAAAACTTTCACAAGAGGTACTGTGTGTATGTATATATATATACA